CTTTATAAAATAAAATAAAATAATCAACTTAAAGCTCCAGTGGCGTAATCAGTTAGCACATGGTACTTATATAAAATAACCAACTTATTCTTTGATCCTGTGGTACTTTTTAGTCTGAGTTTTGTTAATTTCCACTGTGGTCTTAATAATTTGTCTTTTAATTTCAAATTTGGATTGCTCTTGTTTTTTTAGGCCCTTGACAATTCATGATTAAGTTTTCTATTTGGGATTGCGCAGTTCTTTTAATGTTTGCATTTATAGGTAATAACTGCTCTTAGAACTGCCTTCATTGGGTCCTGTTTGATTCTAGGAAATTTTTTATTTCTTCCTTGATTTATCTTGGGATCCATTGCTTATCAATAATGTATTATTTAATATCTGAGTTGGTATATTTTTGTTTTTGCTTTCTGGTTTCATTGCACTATGACTTGATGGTATATAAGGAGTATTTCAATTATGTTGCATTTATCTAGAAAACATTATGGCCTAAGATGTGGTCTATTGTGGAAGAAGTTTCATGAGCTGCTGAAAAAATATATATATACTGTTCTCACTGGATGAAAACACTCTAGATATCTTTTAAGTCTAGATATCATTTAAGTTCATTCGTTCAGTGTTGTGGTTTAACTCTAATATATCTTCATTAAATTTTGGTCTAGTTGATCTGTTCATTTGTGAGAGTGTTGAAGTCCCCAGCCATGATTGTATTAGTGCTGTTATGTTCAGTAGTTTTTCTTTGATAAAGTTAAGAGTGCAAACATGAGGTGCTTTTATAATTGTTAGTTCTTCCTGCAGAATTGTTCTCTTTATCCATTTGTAGTGGCCATCTTTGTTTCCTTTGATCAGATTTGATTGAAGGTTTTGTGTTTGAAAATAATATGGCTACTTCTGCTTGCCTCGGGACTCCAGTTCTTTGGAGTATCATTTTCCATCCTTCTCTTTTAGTCTGGCAGCTTCCTTTTGGATGATCTGTTTCTCCTATATATAATATATGGTTGCATTTCATTTATGATTCATTCAGTCTGCCAGTCTGTGTCTTTTGATAGGGGAGTTATGAGCAGTAACATTGAAAATTGTTATTGTGAAATGTTTACTGAATCCTGTCATTGCATTATTTTTCCAGTGCTGATTCCTTTGGGTTCATTTCCTTTTACCTATTCACCCAGTTATATATATGTTTTTCTTTGGTTCTTTGGTGCTGGTGGCCTCTCTGTCTCTATTGAGGCTGCCTTTGAGTATTTTCTGTGGTGCTCCGTTAACAGTCAGGTATGTATTTAGGATTTCTTTGTCATGGAAAATGTTATGTCTTCATCAATATGGAAGTCTAAGTTTGCAGTATATGGAAATCTGGTTTGGCAATACTTTAAACGTATGAAAAAACTTTTCTCCAAGTTTTCCTGGACTTTAAGGTTTGCTGCTAAGAAATCTGGTGTAATTCTGATAGGCTTTTTTGGATAACTTACTAGTTTTCTCTGACAGCTTTTAAGATTCTCTCCTTTTCTGAATCCCTGTACTTTTTAATAGGTATTTTTTAATCTTTTATTTATTTATTTGATACATGGTCTCACTACACAACTCAGACTCATAGTGATCCTCCTGTCTCAGCCTCCCCGGAATTACAGGCATGTGCCACCACGCCCAGTTTCATGGCCAACTCGGTTACATTGCCACCACTGTGCACCCAGGGCGCTGTTTCACACGTAGCATGTGATACCAGGGATCAAATCTGGGTCCTTATGTGTGTCAGGCAGGCACTTAGACCACTGAACTAACTCCTCAGCCTCTCAATTTCCAGAATTTTGATTATGGTGTACCATGGAGAGATTCTTTACTGGTCATAGCTATTTGCAGTTCTGTATTCCTCTTGTAATTGAATATTGAATTCTTTTTCTCGATTCGGACAGTTTTCTGGTGTGACTTCAGTGAATAAATTTTATATCTTTGAAGTCATCTAATTCCTTTATTAAAATTCAAATTTTTTTTTCTCTTTAGTTATCTAGTAGCTGTTGGAGCTAGCTTGCATGGTATTATTTTTAGGGTATCACTGAATTTATGATTTACTATGTCTGTCTTGTCTTTTAATTTTTGACACACTGTTCTCACAGGGGCCAAATCTGTTAGTCATACATTCTTTTGAGTTTTTTAACATGTGTTTATTATTTCTGCTTGCTTTTCATTATTTCTATTTCCTTACCAAACTAATCATTCATATCTTTTATTATCTTGTTTAACTTGGTTGGCTAGTTGTTTGTTTCTACTTTAAGCTCATCGAACATTTTATTAGTAAAATCTCTTATCTGTTACTGGAAACATTTTGATCAGCCCTTTTAACATATCTGACATACATAAACGTATAGACAGAAGCAGATTATCTTGCTTTCATTCTAAAATTTTAGCCATGTTCCTAGTACAAACTCACTAAAAAGTTTATTTTAAAACTATTTTTATAGATCCAGGGACTGAGAGTGTAGCTTATTGGTAGAGTACATACTTAACATATATGCAACCCTGATTTTTTTTTTTTTTTTTTTTTTTTTTTTTCTGGTACTGGGGATTGAACTCAGGACCCTGCACTTGCCAGGCAAATGCTGATTCTACTGAGCTATCTCCCTGGACCCTGTAACCCTGAATTTAATTCCTGTACCCCCCCCAAAAAAAATCTTATTTGCCTTTCATAAGGAATCTTTTAAAGAGACATAAATTTTTAGTAGTTTCTGTGTACAAATCAAAAAAGTGTAACCCATTTATTTGTAAAGCATTAAGATACTTTTTTTCCCCAGTTTTTCCCATATATGGATAATTTTAAGTTAAACTTCCCATTGTGGATCCCATAATTCCAAATTGGCCAAATTATGGTCACCATAATTCCAATTGTTATCCATTTCTCTATAACAGCATAGGCTCTTGAGTTTATAGTGTATATATATATAAATTAACTGGAGTATAAGATGGAAAAGTTGTAGCCTCAGTAACTCAGATAAACCCACAATTCCACCTTTAATCTACTGGAAGGTCTCAGCAGCACCACATCTAGTTTATATTAGACTCAGTCCATCTTACAGATGTAGACTAGAACAACAAATGCTGAAAGTTGGAGAACTCAAGTTATAAGTTGCAGAGCCAGAACAGAGGTAGATCTGTATAAGATGTCCTACCAAACTGTATAGGCAGCGAGAAACAGTACAAACAGCTCAGCAGCGTGGGTATGCCTAGTTACTCATTACTCCAAAGGGGTTATCATCAGGGATAACCCCTCCACTTCTCTTATTGGACACCAGAACTGTTAAAAGATAAACTTAGGTACATTAGAATTTTAATACATTTATTTAAACATTCACCTCAAATTCATGATCTGAGCAACACCAGAAAACTGGTAATTTAGGGCTACGTCAAGGTGGCGTGAAAGGAAAATTTTTATGTGGTGTTTTTATAAGCTATGGAAAGAACCAATTCAAATAAAAATACTTAACTGGTTAAAATAGAAATTCCCACATTTGAGATTAGTTGGAAGTTTTTGATTGATAGTCTCTGATTAGATTAGAGATTAAGCCTAACTTATCAAAATTGGTATATTTTGGTAGGTTAGTCTTAAGTTTTGTCTTACTGTTCACATTGAGTTTCTACTTGTTCATACAGAAATTTAAAGTTCTAGAGCCATCTCAGCTTACAGGCCTCCTCAGTAATTTTTTTACATTTATAAAATAAGTGTTTTTTAAATACAATTATCTTCATTTTAACAATTAAGACTATTTGGAAAAAGGGAAGAGTTAACATTCCTAGTCTCAAAAGTTCTCCCCTCATGCTTCCACCTCTGCCTAATGCTAAAACATTACAAATCAGTTGAGGTTCATTTATTATAAATACTCAGCAAGAAATTAGAGAATCTTAACTAATAATGTCACTTGGGTTATGTTAGATGTTTTTAGACACTAATTCTCACCACCCCATAACACATTATACTGATAACTATAATGAATGTAAATTGTATGGTATATATTATGTATAATCATGAGTTTTATATAAATTATCTCATTTATTTCTTACTATCCAGTGTTTTAAAGATTATTATTTCCTTTTATAGAAAGGAAATAGTACCATAAAAAAGAATAAGTTTGCTAATACAAAATAGTAAAAAAGAATTAGTACTGCTAAAGAATTAATAATCGGGGCCTGCTGAATATTTCAGCAGATTAAACTGCCTGCAAGCAGGCGCAGGGGTCAGGAGATGATCCCCAGGACTGCTGTGCTGGCCCTGGCACCGGGGCAAAATGAGACAGCAGTTGAGACTGGGTGTGGTGGTGCACAGCTGTAATCCCAGCTCTTGGGAGGCTGTAAACAGGTGAATCACTATGAGTGTGATTAGTAGTGACACCCTGAACCCCCTGTAGATCCTTCCCTAAAATACAAAAATAAAAGTAAAAAAAGAATTAGTAGTCGTTGACTTGGTCATTTATATTCCTTAGTAAAACAGATAACATTTTACATAACAGGTCAATTAGGATAACATTCAGAAATGATTTTTTTTTTTTTTTTTGTCTTTAGCATGGTATTCAAAACTTTCTGTAGCTTGCTTTTTTCAGAGAAAAATATGTAAATTTAAATACTGATGGTGTGACTGATACAATTTAGCTCTTTAATAATTCCAATTATTTATTTAGTATTTTTGGGGGGTGTTTTGTTTTGTTTTGTTTTGGTCTTGAGACAGGAACTCATTGTGTAGTTCAGGTTGGCCTTAAGAAATAAATTTTTCTAAAGATTGTTAAAATAACTTCACAGTTTTTGTTGTCTTTTGTTGCAGATCTGACTGGAGCTCAAGATGGGAGTGTCAGAATGTTTGAATGGGGCCATTCTCAACAAATAGCCTGTTTTCGATCTGGTGGTAATTCAAGGGTTACAAGAATGAGATTTAACTATCAAGGAAATAAGGTAGTATTATAAAAAGTAAATGGTAAAGATAGTTGATTGTGTTGGGGTTCTATAAATATCACTAATTTCAGTTCCTGAAAAGAATAATAGCTTGGTGGACTGTTAGTAAAGTATTTATCTATGTGAATTCTCTCTTTTTTAAAATTCTTTTCAAAGAACATTTAAATTCATTTGGTTCTTCCTAAGCTATGTTTAATAGATATAGAATATATTTTCATTAAAATTAAATGTTGCATGAGGGCTGTGTGATTATTAGTTTACATTGCATTAAACATTTTTGATTAGTAAATCTCAATTTCTTTATCCCTGGGAACCTACTCAGAGTGTGATCCAGCACCAAACAATAAGTAGCATTTAGGAGTTGGTTAAAAGTGCATATACTGACCCTATTTCAGAGCTACTGAATCACCATCTACATTTTAACCAGTTTCTCTTGTGATTTGTACACCTACTAAAGTTTTCAGAAGTACTGTTCTAGAGCTAGGGCATCAGCAAACTATGACATAGCCATCTGTCTTTAAGTAAAATTTTATTGTGTCATTGTTATTTCGTGGATTATTTGTTCTCTTTGCTCTTTCCCACTGCAACAGCAGAGTTGAGGAGGACAAAGACCTTATAATATGGCAAGCCTAAAATATTTATTGTATGACCATGTAGAAAAGGTTTGCTGACCATGCACTAGTACATCCCTGTCTTTACCTCCCATGTTCCTGCTTTCCTTATATTGCCACTCTGTACCTTCATATCGCAGTAGCACTTCAAGGTTTATTTCCCAGTACTTGGAAGGGGGAAAAGAAAGAAGAAGAAAACTTCAAAAATGTGAAATACTTCTCATCTCAAGTATTTTAGATAAGGGATTCTCAACCTTATTCTCAATTGTGTTCCCTATTAATGTCCCTTATCTGTTCTTGCTTTTCTATTTTAGTTGTCAATATTATGTCTCCCATTAGTCTCTGTCTCAGTCTGTAACAAGCAAAATAGTCACATAACTACAATATGGGTAAGATAAAGTTTTTCAAGAAGACTTCAGGATACCTGTGTTATTCTTTAGTGTGATATTGAAGATCTACATCTTCATTTTTACCTTTAACGCTCACAACAACTTTCTGTGGAGGCTACTTAAAAACACAAGTATCTTGAGAGGAAGCCAACTTTCTTACATTCAAATTAGCATGATATCCCTCTCCGTAGGGAAGCTTAGTGGGTAAACTGTAGAGATGACTTATACTGTATCACAGTAACATTGAATGGTTTATGAATTACAAAAACAAATTAGCAATCAAAAGTGAAAATTATAGGAAAACCAAGAGTAACAAGGGGCATTATGAAGCATATATGTCCAGTGAGGAACAATTCTTCTGAGAGATTCAGAAAATACTGCATTAATAAAATAAGTCCAAGGTGGTATGAAGCAAGGACATTAGGGCAACAGAAAAGAGTTCTTGGAAATTCAAAACTTGATGTGCAAAGGTGGGGTCTGTAAGGGAACCACTCATCATACATTACTGAACAGAAGAGCAAAAGTAGTTAAAATTGGACAGCACAAATTAAGAAATTATCCCATAAAATGTCTAAGGAAATGTTTCAGAAAAAAACGTGGATAAGCACTAGTTAAATGAATAATAAATGTTTCTTCAAAACAACAGAATTTTTTTAAGAGGAGAAAGGTCAGCCCAAGTGCCAGAAGAAATACTGAGGAATAGTATACCTACAAACCTTCTGATTATCTTGAGAGATTTTTCATTTATTAAAGAATAAAGGAAGGGCTGATGAGATAGCTCAGCAGACTAAGCACTTGCTTAGGCAAGTCCCAGGCACGCTAAGCCAGAGACTGAGAGGGGGAGAACAGGCATGGTGCCTATAATCCCAGCACTGGAGAGGCTGAAAACAGAAGGATCACTATGAGTTTGAGCTGGGTACTGAGATCCTGCGCACACACACACACACACACACACACACACACACACACAAAGGGGGGGCAGGGAGATGGCTCAGTAGAATAAGCACTTTTCTGGCAAACGCAAGGGTCTGAGTTCAGTCGCCCGTTCTGCTGGAAAAAAAGAAGAGGGAAGAAGGAAGAAAGAAAATCCTGTAAGCTTCTAGGAAGAAGTAGTGGTACATGTGTCTACTTAAACAACTTCTCCCTTTCAAATGACTGGCATCACATTACATCTAGATGGAGCAATATCCTCGGGATTCCAGTGTTCAAAGAATTAGAAATGAATTGTTGTTCATTCAAACATTCATTCACATTCGATGATAAATAGTATTTTAGATATAGATTTTATGTGTCCCCTCTCTGAGGAACATACTTATATCTACTTCAGAGATAAGATAAACTGTAAAAATAGACCCTGAAAAAATATCTGTAATAATGTATACAGACAGTAGGTTAACATTCTTACATTAGTAGTTGTTAACCATATCATTTTTTAAAAGATATCATAATAGACAATATATAAACAGCTTACCAAAAATTATTTTTGTCAGTAACCCTCACAGTTACAGAAGTGCAAATTAAAACATTTTCAGCATAGAATTGATACATTTTAATATTCAGTATTACCTACTGAATATTAAGAAAATAATGCAAATTTAAATTCATATCACTTCAGATTTAGTTATACCTTCATCTGTCAGTTTTAAATAATGCTCTTTGGAAAAACTTTTCCACATGGTATATGTGTAAGAATGTTTAGGCCAGGTGTGGTAGCATATGTAATCCCATTACTTGGGAGGCTGAGATAAGAGAAGACTGCAAGTTTGAGGACAACCTGGGCTACATAGTGAGTTCAAGGCCACCCTAAACTGCACAGCAAGACCCTATCTCAAAAAAAAAAAAAAAAAAAGAATGTTTAAAACTGCACATTTTATAATACACTAAATTGAAAACTGTCTATAATAAACTTTTAAATGACAATTACAAGTATATAGTATAATGAATAGCACAAGAATAAGCTAGATTTCTGTCCTGATATGAAAAGATATTTCTAGTAAATACAGTAATTGTGGAACTGTATTTTTCGGTTATACTTATCTAAAAAGCTGTATATGTGTCTGAATATGTATAGAAAGAAATCTTACAGGAGACAACATCCAGTTGTTATAATAGGTGTATGATCTGAAGATGAGAGCAAGTACCCAAAAAAGACATTTCATACTTTACATAACCATGCACTATGTTTATAATTACTGTATATATAACATACTGTCTTACTTGATTATTTTAATGTTTTTCCAATCAAAATTGCCTTGGTTCCCATAGTGGAATTCTTTTACTATGATAATTGTTATTTTGCTTTCTACTTTTATATGTTGTTCGTATTTCTTGCAGGAAAGTTTTGTCTTTTTCAAGATGAACAGACCTCTTAATACTATGATTAAGTTTTGTCTTTTTTTTTTTTTTTTTTTTTTTTTTTTTTTTTTGGTGGAACCAGGGATTGAACTCAGGCCCTTGCGCTTGCCAGGCAAGTGCTTATTCTACTGAGCCATCTCCTCAGCCCCTTAAGTTTTGTCTTAATGTGGATTCCCATATTATTCAGAGAGATTATTCAGATGATGCTATAGCTTTTTGTAATTAAATGGGTATCTGGAATTCTTTGTCTATCCTGGAATTTTATAATGCATGGCTAAATTTTTTATTTAAACCCATGCATTTGTGAAATGTAAAGTCAGTATATCAGTTAAATATCTAAGAGTAAAAATGTGGGTGTCATAGTAAGGGTAAGAATAAATATGCATTTGCACTTATATTGAACATTTCTATTTATTTTCTAAGTTTGGGATAGTTGATGCTGATGGATATTTAAGTTTGTATCAAACAAACTGGAAATGCTGTCCTGTTACTGGGAGCATGCCTAAGCCATATCTGGTAAGTCAAGACTTCCTACCTGTGAATAAATTTCAAGTTTTCATTTTAAAGAAATAATATATTAGATGCAAGAAATATTTAAATGAATAAATAAAATCTGTGTAGGGTTGTGTACTTAGTCATTTTACTCTGTCCTTGTATTATGTGAAAAGTGCATAAAAATCTTGCATCTCTGGTAATTTGGAAAGATAATATATATAAACCTAACATGGCTGCCTTAGGAAATACAGGCAACTTGGAGATTACCAGTGTCCTTTTCTAACCTTACTTTTCTACCTAAATAGAAAGATTAATAGGCTAGTGATCTGATTATTTTTCCATAGTCCTTGTTATCAATGAAAAATTAGAAAGGGCATCTTATAGCTCGTATTACTATTTTCTTGCTTAACAAAATATAAATATGTTAGAACTATGAATGTAAACATATTCAGAACTATGCAAACAATAAACTTACGGCTTCAAAGAACCCTGAATTTATATTTAATATAAATGGGATTCAGTGATTCCCTTTAGAACTGCGCAGTACCTATCAAGGAGAAGTTAAGAATATAGCTTATGATTCTAGTACTTCACCCAATGTTAAATGTTAGAATACATAGTTGACCTAAGTGAAAACAAACAATCAAAGGAGGGTTAAGTACGATACCCTGAAAAAGAGGGTTTTTTTTTTTTTCCCTCAAGTAAGTTTTTTTTTTTTTTTTTTTTTTTTTTGTTTTTTTTTTTTTGTGAATCCGGGGATTGAACTCAGGCCCTTGAGCTTGCCAGGGAATCGCTTATTCCACTGACCCATCTCCCCAGCCCCTTATTGTCTTAATTTTTCATTAAATCAACAGATTTAAATGTGCAAGGTTATAGTCACTAGCAGACTGCCTTTATATCTTAAACTTTTTGTCGTAATCCATTAAGTTTTGGTTGATAGAATTTTAAGAAATATTGTGTATTTTCTAATTTTGGTGACTATTAGTAACTTTCATTCACGTATATACATAAATGGCTTTAATGTTTAAATATTTCTTAAAATGCAAGTTTTCAAAATAAAAAAGATAAGTCTAAAATAATCTAAAACCCTGGTTTCTGTCTTCGCCTAAAACAGAACTTTTCACTAAATAAGCCAAGGTAAATAAGTTTAACCAAGGTACTTAAGTTTAACCTTCTGTGCTTCTTTTGAAGTTTTGTTTGAACTACAGGAAAGGTAGGTCAGTGATGGTGAACTTAGCTAGCACGTGTGAAGCCACTGTCTCCATGCCCTGCACATTAGGAGGAGAGAGGAGCTACAAAACACATGTGCTGGGCTGGGGAGATGGCTCAGTGGAGTAAGCGCTTCCCTGCAAGTGCTCAGGGCCTGAGTTCAATCCTTGGTCTGCCAAAAAAAAAAAAAAAAAGCTAAAATGTTAAAGATTGCTCAGTCTGGATGGAAAGTATATGAAATTCTGTGTACTGTATTACTTTTGCAGCTTTTCTAAAGTTGAGATAAAAAGACACTTAAAATTAAAAAAAAAAAAGCTACACAATCACTTTTTGATTAATGTATCCAATTCTGAAATTTTTATTAACAATAATAGCAATTTATTATTTATCACCATTCTAGACTTGGCAGTGTCACAACAAAACAGCCAATGATTTTGTCTTCGTTAGTTCCTCCTCTCTGATAGCAACAGCTGGTCTTTCAACTGACAATAGGTAAGAGATGATAGCTGGAACTAAAATATGTAGATGTATAGCTGAATGCTTTTTATAGCTTTATGTCCTTGTGTCCCAAGAAAAAAAATTTAGGTATTTTTATTATAAAGCCTTGTGGGGTTTTTTGTTTGTTTTTGGAGAAAGCATGTATAGTTTTCTAACTATAAATCTAGAAAAACTCTGGTGCCGTTAAAGCAAAATGGATTTCCTCTATATTTTTAATGTTCTGATGCTACATATGTATAGGTGAAAGGGATTTGGTTATTTATGACATGATCATTTCTCTGTATATCTTCTATGTAAATAGGAAACAAAAAGGAAATAGTATTTATTGGCCATGTTATTAAGTTTTTATCATGACCCTCTTAGACACACAACAGTTTCAAAATAAGAAAACAAGAAACTCAGACTGAGTAGCTCTGCAGTAGCTGATCAGTAGCAGCCCCATCCCGTTCCTCATTCTATAACCAAAAGAAGTTAAGTTTGCAAGAACCTGTTTCTTCTCTTGCTCCCATCTCATCACTTGAAACAACTGACTTCTGACATCAAGGTATAGTGAGGTGGTTGAGCTTTCTGTATTTTATGTATGAAACCTCACTTTGCACTTGAAACTGCTTTTGACACTCTTCTTTTTTTAACCTGTTTTCCACAGAACTTCTTTAAATACACCAATACATCCTTAGAGTAGAAGCTTTCTTCATGTTCAAGAACGTGTAGTATCTCATGCTACTTGTTTTCATCAGTCTAGGGATTATATTATAGAAGAGTTAATACAAAATGTTGTATCTACATTCAGGCTTTATTTTATATTATTTGTAAATACATACTAAAGTTACATAGTTTTATAAGCAGTTTTAAAATTTTGTATAAAAATAATATATAAACTTATTTGCATTGTTCTTTTAACTTTCTTTAAATTTAAGAACTTTCTCTGGAAGCAAGATTAAAATGTTATGTCATTATATGAACATTTTTTATAAGTTTGTGTCACTCAAAAAATAATCTTTTCTTCCAGAAACATATGTTTGTGGGATACACTTGTAGCACCCTCAAATAGTTTAGTACATGGTAAGTTTTGAAAACATTTTATACATTGTGGGAGCCAAGAAATTCATAAACCAAGTGACTTTAAATAGATTTTTAATAAAACACATTTATGACCCTATGAAATTTATTTTGAAAAGAAAAACATATACCTAATTAATCTCTTCCCACAATTTGGAATTTTAAAAATATTACTTTTTACATTGAGCCCCAGAATAAAAAATTATTGAGACTAACAAGGTCTCTGCGCAGAAAGTACAAATATTTCTAGAAATCAAAGATCTAAATTAATGCGTTTTTCATATTCACATATTTAAACACTCAGTATATAAGATGTCATTTCCTCCAAACTTCATAGTCCTAATCAAAATCCCAACAAAGTATTTTGTAGATAACAATAAATTAATTCTAAAGTTTATAGTATAAAAAAACAAAATACTAAAGAAAAATT